TTAGCCTGAATCCATTCAATATGCATTTTAGAAAAATCAGTCTGTCAGATATCTAAAGAATGATGGACAACTAGTATCTTTGGAACATGGTTCAGTGTTTTAAGAGAATTATCTAAAATTAAGTGTTTCATTCTTAAAGGTTTGTTTACACTTATTATTTCTGTTTTCTAGGTGAAGAAACTGAGGTATATCAATGTGACCGTTCTTGTGCAAGCATGCACAGCTACTATAATACTTTCTTTCAATTCTAGAATAAGTCATGAAGCCAGGTTTCAGCACAATTAACCTGACTGCAGCGCTTGTGCTCTCAGGCACTGGCAAGTGCTGTGACTTAATCAACCCAAGAAATGATGATTGGTACTGATTTTCGTGCTATTTTTAGAAATAGAATCAAGAGTGTTTTTTGTTTTTGTTTTTGTTTTTGTTTTAACAGGTGGAGAAAGGAAATGGATGTTGCTCCTAATTCTGAGTGGACCCAGTGGTTGCATGGTAATGACATTTATCAAAATTAAACAACAGGGAAAGTAAGATGAAGTTAAAGCTAGAGTTTGGTAGAGGCAGGGCTGGGAATTCAGTTTTAAAAATGTTTTATTTGGGGATCCCTGGGTGGCAAAGCGGTTTGGCGCCTGCCTTTGGCCCAGGGCGCGATCCTGGAGACCCGGGATCGAATCCCACATCGGGCTCCCGGTGCATGGAGCCTGCTTCTCCCTCTGCCTGTGTCTCTGCCTCTCTCTCTCTCTCTCTCTGTGTGTCTATCATAAATAAATAAAAATTAAAAAAATAAAAATAAAATGTTTTATTTGTAATATTTGGCAAAAGAAAAGTGAAAGCAATTGCCAGAAGGAATTTAATTTTGAGAATCTGAATTTGATAAAATACCGAGGGTTGGGAACAATTATTTCGGATTCTTCATTATAAAGATAGTTATTAAAGCAATGTATGTGAATGAGATTGTTCCTAGAGATCAAACTGGATGAGAAATAACAGTAGCTAAAGGTGATGGTTAAGGTTCACCAACAGTTAATGAATGGTCAGCAGAAAAAGTGTCTAAAGGAAGATGAAAAAAAAAATAAAGGAAAATGAGAAGATGAAACCAGAGAGGTGGAAAAAAATCAGAAATGTTCAATATCACAGCATTTATCTTTCTGCAGCTTACAACAATGCAGTTACAGTCTACATTTTCACCTACAGATATCAGGATATAAGACCATGTTGACATTTACAAGGAAGCATTTGATCTTGCTATTAAGAAGAGGTATGTACATGTGATCAGAATGTCATAATTTTGAGAAATCCTACTCTGTATTAATTTTAAGAATAGACTGCATGATTAGATTAAAATATTGATATAGATTTTCTTTCACTAACTGTAGGATAGTTCTGTGAATTTATTTACAGAAATTTGAAAAAAAGAAATTTGTTTTTCTTGCATATGCTTATTTATAAACACTGCATCAGATTATATAGAGCATTTTTTTATTACACGTGATTGCACAGGCCTCAATTTTAAAATGTCTCAGAACAGTTTCTGACACATAAAAAAAACCATTCTGTAGTATTTATTTAACCAAAGAGTAATGCATACGTTATCATGAAACTATTAACAAGAAAATTAGAGAATGAATTAGTCTGATCCAGGAATTCTTTATAACCATTAATTATTTAGTCTTAATAATTAATCTTTATTTATGAATAACAATCATTTTAAAATTATTAATCATTTAAATATTAACTTAATATAATAGACTCTGGACATTTGGCAAGTGGTTTACATTTTATTTTTATTTTTTTTAAAGATTTTATTTATTTATTCATGAGAGAGACACAGAGAGAGAGGCAGAGACACAGGCAGAGGGAGAAGCAGGCTCCATGCAGGGAGCCTGACACGGGACTCAATCCTGGGACTCCAGGATCATACCCTGGGCTGAAGGTGGTGCTAAACCGCTGAGCCACTGGGGCTACCCAGTGGTTTACATTTTAAATTAGATACAGAGATGTAAGGATGAGTGACACCTGTAATCATGCTGTAATACAGATTGGTATTAGATCTTGTAGGAACACAGAAGAGATCATGTCACCAACACCTTGTGTATGGATCTGGATTATGTCTTGAAGGATGCTTTTCAAAAATTTTTTTGTTTGAACTTTTCTCCATGAGAAGCTTAGACAGAACACTGATATTTTTTATCAATTCAAACACAAGGGAGTCAAGGAGAAAATATCGGGGTATTCCTATGGTAACATCAAATGGATAAAATATCTTGGGGAAGGAGTAAAAGTTCAAGATGGCTTAAGCATAAGCTTGTAGGTATCTTGGGCTGAGAATATAAGAACCAAGATGACTAGACTAGTAACCTTTCCTTCAACACATCCATTTCATTGTAACTTTGCTCCATTTAAACTTTTGTAGTTCCTGAAGATCTTGTCAACAGGGTTAGACTATCCTTACTATTCTGTCTCACCTTTATATATTCACGTTGCCCTTGGGGTTTTACAAAATTTATTCTTTAATAGTTATTTAAGAAAAACTACTTAATGTCCATAGGAGCATAAGGATAACTGCAGAGAAATCAGATCTTGTTCCTTTCTCCATATTTCCTATTTCTACTCTTGGTTTCTGTGTTCTTTGTCTATATTTTTCTTCTACTTGGTTTTTTCCTACCACTTTCTGGATACTTACCTAATATTATCTAATACTGCATCATACAGAATATAATTGTATGACCCAGGAGACTAATTTCCCTTATTTTATTTGCAATCACAGAATATAGTACCATTCTGTCTCTCTTAGAAAAGCCAGAGATAGCTTATTGTTACCCTTTGCAATCAGATCTACAACTAGTGCCTTAAGTAAATTTCCCATCAACTGAGAAACTGTTGCATTATGAATACTGCAAAAAAGGAAGAGTTTGCTGATTTCTTTTGCTGATTTCCACAGAAAAACTTGCCTCTGGGGACTGAATCCTACTTTTACTCCTCTTATCCATTATCAATCATACCTTTTAAAAATACTCCTAATTTCACTCTAATAACATAACTTTGTGGAAATAGCCTCTGTTCCTATTGAAACCGCCAGAGGATCTCTTGCTCTTGGCTTTGCTTCTTCTCATGTTTCCCATCCATATTCTTTTTTTTTTTTCACTTGTTTTTATTGAAGTTCGATTTGCCAACATTAAGCATAACACCCAGTGCTCATTCCATCAAATGCCCTCTTCAGTGCCTGTCACCCATTGCCCCAACACCCCCGCCCTGCCCACCTCCCCTATTGCAACCCTTTGTTTGTTTCCCAGAATTAGGAGTCTCTCATGGTTTGTCTCCCTCTCTAATTTTTCTCCCATCCATATTTAACTGCTTATTCCATACCTCGCTTATCACATTCTTCTGGGTATTTGCCCCTCTATATCAACGTCTAGATAATACACTGATTTTCATGCTGAAAATGAGATCACCATTAGCATTGCCACCATGGAATCTTCAAATGATCAGAAGAGAGGCTTCCCTCCATCCCCTCCCCCCAAAGGTTTTATTTATTTATTTATTTAAGAGAGAGAGACTGGGTGAGTGAAAGAGAGAGAGACCACAGGTCCATGGGGGAGAAGGGGAAGAAAGAGAGGAAAAAGCAGACTCCCTGCTGAGCAGGGAGCCCATGGGGTGGAGCGGGGCGGGGAAGGGGGTGACTCCATCCCAGGACTCCAGGATCATGACTTGAGCTGAAAGCAGACACTAACCGACTGAGCCACCCAGGCACTCCAGAAGACATACTTTTTACTATAAAATAATTGCACACATGAATGAGTATATATTTTGGAAATAACCTATCAAATGCTATACAAGCTACATGAAGACATATAATAAGGGTTTAGGGAACTTCAAAAATGTTTGAATTATCATGTGTCTAATTATCCAATATTCCTAATTGTTTTCTCTCACTACTTCTTTTATTAACATTTTGACCTGTGTCTTCAACTCTAAAGTAACAATTCCCTTAGCTAAATATGAGAAATACTAACAAGTTTTATTCAGATAGGTGTTGTGATTTTTAAAAAAGATTTGTAATTTGTGTTTGTACATGTGTGGAGTATTGTGTGTGTGTGTGTCTGTGTGTATGTGGTTGTATAGTACCTACAGATGCATAGGTAAAACACATCTTTTCCTTTATTTCCATTTGCTAATTTCCTCCCTAACTTAATTTCCCAGACCTTTCATTGAAAACATTTTAAACTTCTGATAAGCTACTTACTCTTTGATTGTTAGATAAGTTATATGTAAAATAAATAAAATTAATGTTCTTCTTGAAGGACTTTTTTTTAATTTTTTATTTATTTATGATAGTCACAGAGAGAGAGAGAGAGAGAGAGAGAGAGAGAGAGGGGCAGAGACACAGGCAGAGGGAGAAGCAGGCTCCACGCACCAGGAACCTGACGTGGGATTCGATCCCGGGTCTCCAGGATCGTGCCCTGGGCCAAAGGCAGGCGCCAAACCACTGCGCCACCCAGGGATCCCTTGAAGGACTTTTTAATTTAAATACTGGAGATGATTTTTGCATAGAATCTGACAAAAAGCCTTGTAAATAATAGGCGGCACCACAATAACTGGTATTTGATGTTGCTGTTTTCACTATTATTCCCAATTATATTTTGTAATAATAATTACTAAATACTAAAAGAAGGACCAATTTAACTAATTAAAATATTTTTAATATTTTGGTATATATTTTGTTGAATCTATGTGTTTATTGTATAGTTATTATTCATCCTGTGTTTTAATCCCAGAGTGTTCTTAATCGACTGGAGTCGATTTCCATCACTATATTCAGAAGCTAGCAGAATCCTAAACTGGTTAAAATTGAAGGGGGTGTCTGTTGGTGATGATGGTGATAATGAGAAGAAGTAGCTAATTAAGTGTCTTCTATTATCTTTAGGTCTCTAGCAGTATAGAAACTATCTGGTGACTTGTAGATTGGGTCAGCATACATTTCTGAAGATTTATTACCAAATAGAATGTTCCCTCCCAATAACACCCAATTCCACCTCTTTTCCTTCTTGTTGCTGGGGATCCCAGAAATGGAAACACTGCACCTCTGGATTGGCTTTCCCTTTTGTGCTGTGTACACAATTGCACTCATAGGGAACTTCACTATTCTGTTTGTCATCCAGGCTGAGAGCAGCCTACACCAGCCTATGTTCTATTTCCTGGCCATGTTGGCTACTATTGATTTGGGTCTGTCCACAGCTACCATCCCCAAGATGCTTGGAATCTTCTGGTTCAACCTCAGAGAGATCATCTTTGGAGCTTGCCTCGTGCAAATGTTTTTCATTCACAGCTTCACACTTATGGAGTCAGCTGTCCTGTTGGCAATGGCTTATGACCGCTACGTGGCCATCTGCAACCCACTTCGATATAGCACCATCCTCACCAACAGGGTTGTTTCTGTGATTGGTGTTGGTGTGTTAGTGAGGGCATTTATTTTTGTGATTCCTTTTGTATTTCTGATTTTGCGATTGCCCTTCTGTGGGAATCGTGTCATTGCCCATACCTATTGTGAACACATGGGTCTTGCTCGTCTCTCTTGTGCCAGCATCAAGATCAATATTATTTATGGCTTATGTGCAATTTGTAATCTAGTATTTGACATCATAGGCATTGCCCTTTCTTATGTTCAGATACTGCGAGCTGTTTTCCGTCTTCCTTCCCGTGAAGCCCGACTCAAATCCCTCAGCACGTGCGGTTCTCATGTTTGTGTAATTCTTGCCTTCTATACACCAGCCCTCTTTTCCTTTATGACACATCGCTTTGGCCATAACGTTCCCCGCTATATCCACATACTCCTGGCTAATCTTTATGTTGTAGTGCCACCAATGCTCAACCCTGTCATATATGGAGTCAGGACCAAGCAGATCTATGACCGGGTGAAGAAACTATTATTACAGAAACCATGAAAGGAAAAAGAATGAGACCTAATACATGTGTAGTTCAATATGACATTGTATGAAACTTAAATCAGAGACATACCTTTTCATAAAAATTCTGTTAAAATATGTATCTATGTTGGCTCTATTCTTTCTGTATTGAAATGCATTTAATTTCCATCTGCTATTAAGGCCACTTCCCAATATACGTTGCTACATCTTCTTCATCCCATAAAATTTCATTTAGTAGGTCATGTCACTTTATTCATTTCAATATCTGATATTTATTTGTCAAAGTTTTTTTTAAGATTTTATTTATTTACTCATGAGAGACACAGTGAGAGAGGCAGAGACACTGTCAGAGGGAGAAATAGGCTCCATGCAGGGAGAGCACCACGGGACTCGATCCCAGTTCTCCAGGATCACGTGCCCTATGTCAAAGTTTTGAATGCATCCATTTTCACTAGATTAGTTGATGTTTTATGGATCTTCTTTCTTCTCCAAATATAATCATTTTCTGACTGTATTTTCACAACTGAAGGCAGCTGGGGATAAAATAGTCACTATTCCACTTTCTCTGACTTTATGGAATTTATGGAGTTTAAATTTAGTCATCAAACTGAACTTATAAACATTCATCAAAAAAAAACATTCATCATTTTTCTTTCAGCCTCTTAATATCTCAATAACTAAATTTGTCTCTATTTACAAGTATCAAAGAATTTATACTCAAACCAGTCTGACAATTTTTGTATTTTAAATACGCTACAAATTTTATGCACATTTAACATAATTATTTTTTCTATTAATTAAATCTCGTATTTACTATCTTTTACTTCAACCTGAGACACAGATCTTACACGATTTTCCCCTTTAGAATTTTCTAACCATGGCTGTTAAATCTCATATACTTTGCTTTGATTTTATTCAAAATTTTAGTTACTTTTGCCATTGTCCCACAGATGCCCATGCAAGTTATCAAATTTTAATATAAACAAGCAGTCTTTCTGCTTTCTATTCATAAAGGATCTTTAAAAAATGTAGTCCTTTTTCTACTTTCTGAAATATACTATTGTTGGTTTAATTCTCTTCTTATAAACTCTAAAACTTATACACATGAGGTTATTGTTTCAGAAAGTCAATATTCATTTAAATGTTTCCAAATATTTACTATTTCTTTGTTATCCATTCCTTCTTGCATCTTTACTACTTCATCTGTAAAGATTTCACTCATGCCTGAAGAATAAACTTAAATATTTCCTTGATACAACTTTTATGGTAGTGAGTTTCTTTTTCTTTGCCTAAAAATAACTTTGTTTCATCTTAGTTTTAAAGTTATTTAGAGGATTCAGAGTTATAAATTAACAGTGGATCTCTCAGCTTTATAGAAATATGACTGACAAAAACTGTAGTTTGTACAATGTGATTTTTTAAATTTATATACATCTATATATATTAATGATTACACCATCAAGTTATTTAACAAATCCATCACCTCACATAGTTACCTTTCATTTTTTGTGGTGAGAAAACTTAAGGTTTACTCTAGCAAATTTTAAGAATACAATACAGTATTATTAACTATAGTTGACATGCTGTACATTAGATCCCCAGCACCTATTCATCTCATAATTGAAAGATTGTACCCTTTATCAGTGTCCTCTCTTTTCCCCCCTCCCTAACCACCATTTACTCTCTGGTTCTATGAGATTACTTTTTTAGATTCCGTATAAAAATGAGACCATATAGTATTTGTCTCTGTGTCTGGCTATTGCACTTTGCATAATGTCCTCTAGGAAAAGATTACCTTGTTTTCAAGACTGAGAGGAGTAATCCACTGTTTTACCTATATCACATTTCTCTATCCATTCATTTGTTGATGGATGCTTAGACACTCTCCTTATCTGGGCTACCACAACTAACAATCCACTGAATACAGGAGTGTGCATCTGTCTTTGAGCTACTGATTTTATTTCTTTTTTTTAACAATTTCAGATTTTATTTATTGTATTGTGTATTTTTTTACTGGAGTTCGATTTGCCAACGTATAGCATATCACCCAGTGCTCATCCTGTCACATGCCCCCTTCAGTGCCCATCACCCAGTCACCCGATCCCCCTGCCCACCTCCCCTTCCACTACCCCTTGTTCATTTCCCAGAGTTAGGAGTCTCTCATGTTGTCACCCTCACTGATACTTCACACTCATTTTCTCTCTTTCCCCTCTAATCCCTTTCACTATTTTTATATTCCCCAAATCAATGAGACCATATAATGTTTGTCTTTCTCTGATTGAATACTTCACTCAGCATAATACCCTCCAGTTCCATCCACATCGAAGCAAATGGTGGGTATTCCTTGCTTCTAGTGGCTGAGAATATTTTGTTGTATACATAGACCACATCTTCTTTATCCTTTCATCTTTTGATGGACACTGAGACTCCTTCCACAGATTAGATATTGTTGACATTGCTGCTATAAACACTGAAGTGCAGGTGTCCTGCTGTTTCATTGCATCTGTATCTTTGGGGTAAATCCCCAACAGTGCAATTGCTGGGTCATAGGGCAGGTCTATTTTTAATTCTTTGAGGAAACTCCACACAGATTTTCCAGAGTGGCTGCACCAGTTCACATTCCCATCAACAGTGCAAGAGGGTTCCCTTTTTCCACATCCTCTCCAGTATTTGCTGTTTCCTGTCTTGTTAAATCTCCCCATTCTCACTGGTGTGAGGTGGTATCTCATTGTGGTTTTGATTTGTATTTCCCTGATGGCAAGTGATGCAGAGCATTTTCTCATGTGCATGTTGGCCATGTCTATGTCTTCCTCTGTGAGATTTCTCTTCATGTCTTTTGCCCATTTCATGATTGGATTGTTTGTTTCTTTGGTGTTGAGTTTAAGAAGTTCTTTATAGATCTTGGATACCAGCACTTTCTCTGATATATCATTTGCAAATATCTTCTCCCATTCTGTAGGTTGTCTTTTAGTTTAGTTGACTATTTCTTTTGCTGTGCAGAAGTTTTTTATCTTGATGAAGTCCCAATAGTTCATTTTTGCTTTTGTTTCCCTTGTCTTCATAGATGTATCTTGCAAGAAGTTGCTGTGGCCAAATTCAAAAAGGGTGGTGCCTGTGTTATCTTCTAGGATTTTGATGGATTCTTGTCTCATATTTAAATCTTTCATCCATTTTGAGTTAATCTTTGTCTATGGTGTAAGAGAATGGTCCAGTTTCATTCCTCTGCATGTGTCTTTCCAATTTTCCCAGTACCATTTATGGAAAAGACAGTCCTTTCTCCAGTGGATAGTCCTTCATGCTTTGTCAAATATTAGTACACCATAGAGTTGAGGGCCCATTTCAGGATTCTCTATTCTGTTCCATTGATCTATGTGTCTGTTCTTGTGCCAGTACCACACTGTCTTGATGATCACAACTTGTAGTACAACTTGACATCCAGCATTGTGATGCCTCTGGCTCTGGTTTTCTTTTTCAATATTACCGTGGCTACTCAGGGTCTTTTCTGATTCCACACAAATCTTAAGATTATTTGTTCGAACTGTCTGAAGAAAGTCCATGGTATTTGGATAGGAATTTCATTGAAAGTGTAAACTGCCCTGGATAGCATAGATATTTTTACAATATTAATTCTTCCAAACCACAAGCATGGAATATTTTTCCATCTTTTTGTGTCTTTCTCCATTTCTTTCAGAAGTGTTCTGTAATTTTTAGGGTATAGATCCTTTACCTCTTTGGTTAGGTTTATTCCTAGGTATCTTATGCTCTTGGGTGCAATTGTAAATGGGATTGATTCCTTAATTTCTCTTTCTTCAGTCTCATTGTTAGTGTATAGAAATGCCACTGGTTTTGGAGCATTGATTTTTGTATCCTGCCACACTGTCGAATTGCTGTATGGGTTCTAGCAATTTTGGCGTGGAGGCTTTTGGGTTTTCTGTGTATAGTATCATGTCATCTGCAAAGAGGAAGAGTTCTACTTCTTCTTTACCAATTTGAATGCCTTTTATTTCTTTTGGATGCCTGATTGCTGAGGCTAGGACTTCTATTACTATGTTGAATAGCAGTGGTGAGAGTGGACATCCCTGTCATGTGCCTGATCTTAAGGAAAGGTTCCCAGTGTTTCCCTATTGAGAAGGATATTTGCTGTGGGCTTTTGGTAGATGGCTTTTAAGATGCTGAGGAATGTTCCCTCCATCCCTACACTCTGAAGAGTTTTCATCAGGAATGGATGCTGTATTTTGTCAAATGCTTTCTCTGCATCTAATGAGAGGATCATATGGTTCTTGTTTTTTCTCTTGTTGATATGATCTATCACATTGATTGCTTTACGAGTGTTGAACCAGCCTTGCATCCCTGGGATAAATTCCACTTGGTCATGGTGAATAATATTCTGAATGTATTGTTGGATCCTATGGCTAGTATCTTGGTGAGAATTTTTGCATCTGTGTTTATCAGGGATATTGGTCTATAATTCTCCTTTCTGGTGGGGTCTTTGTCTGGTTTTGGAATTAAGGTGATGCTGGCCTCATAGAACGAGTTTGGAAGTACTCCATCTCTCTCTATCTTTTGGAACAGCTTTAGTAGAATTGGTATGGTTTCTTCTTTAAATGTTTGATAGAATTCCCCTGGGAAGCCATCTGGCCCTGGACTTTTGTGTCTTGGGAGGTTTTTGATGACTGCTTCAATTTCCTCCCTGGTTCTTGGCCTGTTCAGGGTTTCTATTTCTTCCTGTTCCAGTTTTGGTAGTCTGTGGTTTGCCAGAAATGTGTCCATTTCTTCTAGGTGGCCTAATTTATTGGTGTATAGCTGCTCATAATATGTTTTTAAAATAGTTTGTATTTCCTTGGTATGATGGTGATCTATCCTTTTTCATTCATGATTTTATTAATTTGAGTCTTTCCTCTTTTGTTTTTAACAAGGTTGGCTAATGGTTTATCTATCTTTTTAATTCTTTCAAAGAACCAACTCCTGGTTTTGTTGATCTGTTCTACAGTTCTTCTGGTCTCTATTTCATTGAGTTC